GGCAAGAGGTTACAAGGTCCGTTGCATTAAAAATGATTTTCAGATGTTCGAGTTATGTAACGGTCTGTTAGAAAGCCGTCATCACTGCACAGGGAGCACCTCTCCCTGGCTCTGGTACTCTGTTTTTCCCTCTTTCTCAGCCTCTATTTCTCAATGAAAATCTCATTTTGCTGAACACGACCTCCCCTCCCCTCCATGCCTTCAGTCCTTTCTGTGTTATAGTGAACTATCATGTTACGAGATGCTAACAGCTGACAGCTGGCCTATGCCTCCATGTGTCCTTCAACTGTTTGTTTTACTTTAAAGTGAAATTAAAATAAAGGTAACAAAAAAAGTTAGATGGTACATAAAATTTGTCAAATATTCATACTTAAGGTAACACAGTATGGCCCAGACATCAGTTCAACAAATACAAAAAATGTAAATGTCTTGTTTATCAACATGGGCTTGGATATTAGGTATCTTTGGGAAATATTAAACCTTGTTTTATTACAACTTTTATTTTCACCAAAGTGTAACGGCTGAGATATGTGAACAAAGCAACATCTCTGAAAATAGGTCCAATGAAGTGCGGAGCACGAGCAGCATATAGCTCCATAGAACTGAAAGAACTGTCTTTGAAAATAGGACCCGTTATAACAAACTATAGTTTTCCTTTAACAACAGTCTATATCTCTAGACCCTGGAGCTCTGAACTCTGACAAACTGATTACTCAGGGAAATGAAGCTGAAGTGTAGCATTAGGTCAGCTGGAGATTACATCTCCAGATCTCAGAATTGCTTTATCTGCAAACACCTGCAGAGTTGGCTTACAAGCTTCTGGTGGTGAGTTTCCCTCTTCCAGTACAAACATAGACAGTACAGTAAGTCATTAAGAGCCGGCTTGCTAAAGCACCATTTACTTTAGGGTTTTGTGCCAGATTCCACATCCTTTCCTTACGATTACACACATGGCTGCCATGCAGCTACTGGTCCCCTTAGTGTGAGCGCAGTGGTTTAGATATCATTAACTAAATTCCTCAGACTGTGTCTTTGCAGTTCAGAAATTTCAGTGCATCAAAACTAAGAAATCCTGGTCCTGATGTCAGTGTTGAGTCACTGCCAAATGCAAACAGTGCTGGTAAATTCCACAGCAGAGCGGGTGGGGGGGGAGACCAGGAAGTAAAGGGAAAAAACACCTTCTGTTTTCCCTGCTGGAATGTTAATGGCTGGTCTGACCTGTGGTAGACTGGCGCATGGCCTGGTTGGTTCCTCTGCAGGTCACATTTTGTTGAGTTCATGTGTTTGGTGCATTGTTGTTCCGTGTGTCTTGATGGTAAACTTGCTTGTGAATAGAAGGAAAAGACAAGTGACGAGTGATGCTGGGTATAGTGCCAATATGTTACCCAAGTTTCCGTACAGATAACAGAACAGTACCTTTCCTGATTTCTCAGCTTTTTCATTGAACAGAATATGCCAAAGTGCTCTATGCATCTGCGTTAAATGGAGATTTTTGCCTATAATCCAAAGTTAAAAGGTTCTGAATTTAGATTGGGAAATATCTTGTCAAACATATAAGTACATATACCGAGCTTACACCCAAGCATTTGATGTCAGTTTTGGATACTTGACACATTTTAATAACAAATGCTGACACATTTTGGTCAATACTGAGTTTTACTATTTATTTACTGCCAATATTATAGACTGCCAAGTGTGGCTAAATGTGTCCAGGATCAGTGGTAAGCTTTTCTTTGGCAGGCCATCAAAACAGCTGCTGCCTGGTAGGTGTATTAACACTGATCAGGTTTTAACCATTAGATACAAATTTATTCGCCAGTAATAATAAAGGACATAAATTGTTACCATACCAGTACCATTCTGTTGCAGCCTTGCAAAAACAGTAAGTAAAGAAGATACATTGATTGAGATCTCTCTTTAACCGGATAGAGGCATCAAAAAGCTGAGGTTTATTTGTTGTAAATTAAGGAGGATATGATGAGTTATGATGAATGCCATTAAGGAGGTGAGAAATAACCACAGACATTCACAGTGAATAGACAAGGAGGTGTGAGGGGCGTGTTTGTCCAACATAGATCGTGATCTTACATTTGTTGAGTTCCTGTGTCAACTATAGACCGAACTTTTGGGAGAAAAAGTTTCATATCTGAGAATTTCTCTCCTCCTCATGTGTACACCTGAATTAGGCTTGCCCAGTCTTGTGTGTTAGTGATGACTGGGGGAGGTTAGCGTAAACTTCTAATTGTTGTGGGAGGGTTAATGGAATGTGATGGGGTAATTGTTTTGGGCAGGGCATGTCTGAAGGACAGTCGCTCTGTGCCAAGAGAGTCATGATGTTCCACAAGCAGGGTAGAAAAATAAAATAACATTTAGACTATAGTTCCTTTATTTACTGAACGTCAGCCATTTTATAAGATTAAAAAGCATAATTTGGAGGTCTTGTTGCATTTTTGCAGCTGTTGTTTATGTGTGGGGCTGATGTTTGGGATGCCATACAAGTATTGGTCTGACAGTCCTAAGCAGCCCCCTCCATTTGTATTTGCCTGTTGCCTTTCTTAACAGGATTGTGCTTAAATAGACTTCCTAACAAAAAAAGACAATAACAATCAATCTCCATACCAAACATTAGCAGCTTTAGAGGCCATTTTACAGGAAAACAGCTTTTTATGCCCTCAGTGGTCCAGGTTATAATGACCACCTGGAAGCTGTGGGGGAGATATCCATTCATTTACACATCCACAGGAAGTCTTGGAGACACTTATTTCAGCAAGACCTTCATGCAGTAATTATATCCTGTCTGCTTGCACAGAAAGCAGTGCTTTCTTTTTGTTTAATTCCCAGAACTGTCTTTCTGTGACAAATAAAGACTCCGATAAGGAGGTTCAAGGTCAAATAGCTTCACTGGAATGTTCCCGAAGCCAGAACTTTGAATAATTTCTCTTGTAATAGTTGTGACTAGAATACTGTATACAAACAACATGTAGAAGCATCATATAGTAGTTGTAGTAATAGAAGTAGTAGTTTACATTTTAAACGTTGGCACCCCTCCTGAGATTCAGGCCTGTCATAGTGCATAGTCTTTATGCTGTTTTAGCCATGCTAGCAGCATTTTAAGGTAAGATGCTAAACATGGTCAACGTTACTTCTGCTGAACATCAGCAGGTTAGCCTTATCTTTGTGACATTTAGCTCAAAGCATTGCTGTGCCTAGGTTCAGCCTCACAAAGCCGCATGGCTGTTGGCTCTGAAGGCATACTCATACTAGGCCTGGTTGCCTTGTACCAGGCACGGTATGGATCGCTTAGTGTGAGTACACCCTAAGTTACATCAATAGTTCTGAGACACTTACTGGTTCCTTAAGTGTTCCATAGCTACTAATTCAGGTGTAATCAAGTCATGAGAGGAACATAACTGTACCTCTCACACACAATGGCCACTAAGCCCTAAAACCATAAAAACTTCTGCAAACTTCTGCTTTATCCTGTCAGTCAAGGTAACAATGACATTTATCAAACAACACAGAATTTATACGTTGGTTTTAAGCTGTAAATTGTCGCGCTCTAATTGTGTTTATATTGCCATGGGAGTTGGGGCCCTATGTGCATCGTTATGGAGAAAATGCAGATTGAATCACAAAAGTGAAAATGTTAAAGCATTCAGGATTTTGAGGCATGAAAATGAAAATAAACAGGCATGTGTCTGCGATTTTTTCTTGTTTTTTTTTTTAAAGGAATGTTTAATGGTGTGTGTGTGTGTGTGTGTGTGTGTGTGTGTATTGCTGAGATTGGCTCAACCCCCGCAGCAACATCCTAATCTCAGTGCGTGTTGTCATCTCTGTGTTTCCTACCCAGACTGTGAATCATAGCAGCAGGTGGACTTTAATCACACACTCAGAACAGACAGTTATTGTAGATACCAGCCGCCATTTGTTCAAGGTGTTGTCTGTGTTTTCAGGTGCACTGTGGTCGTGTGTGTGTCACCTGTATGAAAGGGGCGTACTCTACTGGTCAGCAATGTTGCAACGCAGTGTGCTGGGTTTTAATATTTGATATTTAGGCCTTTGTTTTATTAATAGTTCAACTCCTCTCTGAGCTGTATGTATAGTGAAATGAAAGGAATGTATCTCCCTTTTGTGTTGTTCCTCATAAATTATTGATTCACTCCAAGGAAATGGGGCTTAAAAGTTTGCATGTGTGTATTTGCAGGCCGTGATGTGTGTGCCTCAAAGTAACTTTATCCTGCGAGTGCACAGGTGATACCAAGCTGAATATAGCTCCCTTATGGCCAGCTGGCCTTGCTATTTAAAACAGAGGAGGGGAAGGGGGGGTGAGACCGGGGACGGCGTTTTGCGTGAGCCAAAGACAGTTTGGTGGAGATTCCCAACAGGATTGGGATACATCAGATTTGATTATCCAGTCACACCACGTCCAATAAGTGTCTCATTCCTTCTCAAAACATATTTCATAGAGTCCCTGTCTGAAGGAGATTCCTTTTGTCAAGGACAGACTGTTCAAAAAACCATCTCAGAATTGCAGTGGTGATTGGCTATTAATCAGTCACTCTAAAAGTCAGGGTGTGTGTGTTATTCATCCCAGTATCCGATTTACCCAAGCATCTTTGACAAAGGTCGATTATGTTGGGTGAGGTCATCACTGAAAACAGTTACTGCTGCTTCCACTTGTCAAATAAAAACTGTTCATAGATTGACTGAGTCACTGTTTTTGAGCCTGTGCAGTCTAGAAAGTGTTCAAGAACAGATTGTCTCATTCATGGCGCTGTGATTATTGTTCTGTATGCTGTGTTTGTGTGTTGGCTATATGTTTGACAGGGAGAAGGTTTGCATGTGGCAACCCCCCCTTTAGCCTATAATAGTGAATGAATGGCAACAGCTGAGCAGGAGAACTTTATCGGCTACACTCCCTGCTTGTGTGTGGGTGTGTGTGTGAGAGAGATTCAGGAGGAGCTGCAACCAGAGCAGTCTTTTCGGGCACTGTCTCTGGCGAGCTCACTGCTGTCTTCCCTTTCTCCGCCACTGGCCTCTTTTCAGTTTTCTCCCCTCAGCTCTCTTGTTTCTTTCCATCCGCTTCTCGCCCTGTGGATTTCTTTCCCCCCCGTCTCTCTGGGAAAACCTTCGCAGAGCGGAGCGGCGCTGTCGTGACTCGCCGGCTGCCACTGCAAGGGAAGGAGAGAACAGGAGGAAGAAGAGAAAGAGAGAGAAGCTGAGACAGACCAATCGATTACCCTGATAGAGGAGAGAGGCGCTGGGAGAGAAGAGGCGAGGCAGTAGCGGCATTTTTCCTTGCACGTTGTGGTTTATAAGAACATTTTCTTTGCGTGGGAGTCTTCTGAAGCATTTGATTCACGTCCTTTCTTTGGGAAGAGAGAGGACAGCAAATTGAAGGGACAGCTGGTGCAGTTCGAGGACCCTTCTTTCCTCCCCGCTTCAGCCACAACAGCCAATATTTGAGACTTGGGAGGAGGGCCGCTTTTAAATGAGAAGTTCAATGTTTACTAAGTAATTTATCTCCATTCTGAATGATAATGCTGGACACCAACCACTGCCTGTCCTTTGAACCCTCCCCCCCGGGCTCTCCTCCAGTGGGAGAAGACATGGAGAAGGCAGGACTGACACTGGATCATGACAGACATGTCTATCACAGCCTGAAAGAAGGTGAGCGATCTGGAGCCGGACATAATCAGTAGACAAGATATCTGATCTGATTTGTGTTTATGTGACTCAGTCTACAGCTTCACATCAGTACTTCATGACTTAATTTAATATGTTAATAGGACTAAAGATAAGCAATCGGGTTTACTGGCCTGTGTTGGAAGGAAGTAGAAGTGGTTATATGTTCTCTCTGATAAAGAAGTTCAATAACTCGGATATGGCCGTGATGTTAAATAAGGAAGTCACATCACATATTACTTCAATTTTAAAGGTGCCCTGTGGAGTTTGCTTAGAAACAAATACATATTTACATCCAGCGTTACTCACTAAAGCTCATTGTGTGTATCCTCGGGCTTAATGCTTTTTCTTTATACATACAACAGTCTTCATCTTCCTTGCCTTTTCTGGCATGTGGCTGCATATCTTGCCGCATTTCCACCACCTGTATATCAGTGGAATAGTGTGAATCCATAGGCAGGAAAGTGTATTGCGTCACCTGCATGCTTGTGTGTGTGCACGATAACAAACTCAACAGGGACCCACTCATAAAACATTGCTCATTAGCAATACTAGTGGTCAAAAACTCTACATGATACCTTTTTAAGTTATGACCTAACTGAGAATTCTAGCAAATATTTAATTCTTATAAGATCTCTTTTTTTTAACGCAGATTGGAAGCTGCTGCTTTTATCTTTTCAGTTTTTGTCGTAGTAGTAGAGGTAGACCGTTACTTCCACTTTACATTTTCGGAAAATCTGTGAGGAAAACCAACACAGTCTGAGGACTTGCAAAAGCATTTTTAGCACTCTAGCATTCCATAGAAAGGGAAAGATCAAGACTGCCAACAGTGACATAATATCAACAAATTGGGGATACAGCCTAATTTGGAATGGATTACAGTCAGTGCATCAGTAAAATAAGCTTCAGTTTGTTTATATCCAACATTACAAGCAAAGGTCAGAGTCATAGATGACTACATTCCTGTGAGGTCTGACGACACAAAACATTCCTGTGAGGTCAGAATGATTGAAGATGGTGGAGGTCTAAAGAAAACCAAGGGGAAAGAAACAAAAAGTTAAGGTGGAAGGAGTTTCTACAGTACCATAGTAACAGCTGACATGTTGCACTGCCACTGTGCATACCTCACACTACAGCTGTAGGTTGAGCAAATGTTATTCCAGGTCTGCTTTTTGCTAACGGCTAACCTTTTGTTAAATTCTTGAAAAGAGGCTTGCATTATATGTAGAGAAAGTGTGAGTGACAGGAACTGCATAAAGCCATGAACGATTTGGGAATTTGACTCGCCTTCCTTGAACTTTAAGATAATTAGCATTCACTGCAACCCTTCTTGTTGTCGTCTGGCTTCCCAGCACAGTGCGGCAGTGCAAAAGCGGTGGGAGTGATTCCAAGGTGTGAATGGCCTTAACCTTGTATTGTTCCTGCCCTCTAGCCTCTTTCTGTTCTCATTGACGTGCAAAACATTTGCTGTGGTCAGGCGCTGCTGCGTTCAAAATCCACCACTGTGCAAACGATGAGCTGTGCTTTCCAAATATAACATTTCCAATGCCAATGCCAAGCGTAACGTCCGCACAGAGCGTCTGCGAGACTTGTGTTCGTTAGCTGGGTGTGTGGTAGTTTGGTCGCGTGCATTTCCGTCTTCACGTGCCCACTTCCTCACCCAGTGTGGCCATTGAAGCATTCTGCCTACATTGCTATGGTCAGTGTGTGTAGGTTTAGTTGTGCCAAGCCTGGGGGTCTTTGGGGACAGTGACGAACGTTTAATCATATCTAGTGACATGAGCACAGTAGGATTAGCCTAGTTGGCCACCAAGAACTTGGCTCTACCTCACTGACCTCTCCGTTCTCCCACTCTGGCGCCTTTCTAACCTTAAACCTTATCCTTTTCTCACTACTGGTCAGCGGTCTTGACATTTGGTTTGTGACATTTTATAGACATAATAATTCCTCATTTACTTAAAAGACTAAAATATTACAGGACAGTTAAATTAACATTAAGCTGTAGTCTTACACGTTACACCACCGTGTTTAAATAAAGAAACGACGGTGTGAAAAGATGATGTAACTCTGAAACTGAAGAGAACTGTGAGAACCTAGTGTTTTGCCCTGTCTAACTTTATATTCTCTGACTTTCATTGCAACTCTCTGGCCAGCAAGTTTCCATCCTGTTACCAAAAGATCACAGACTCGATTGATTCAGCAAGCGTCCTCGAGAAAACCTGCAGTCGTCCAGCATTGTTTCCTCTGCTTCATTTAAAAGCTGTAAAGCCTTGTCTGCCGTCTCTCTGTCTCTCTCCCTATGTGTTCCTTCGCTCTAACTTTTTCTGACTGCGGAGGCCAGTTTTGGCTGTGGCCTAGTATCCCAATAAAACTGCCCTGCCTTTTCATCCTTTTCTTAAATTAACCGAAATGGCCCTAAAACCTGATTTAGATGAAGGCATTGTCATATTTAATCATCAGTATCACTGACTGTGTTTACATCCACACATGAAACCAGGCTACTGTTATGTCATATTAATGCAGGATATCAGAGAACATGTTTATATGCAATCATATATCCTGTTTCTATTAAGTGATTACATTATGTTAAAACCCACATTTACATGCAGCTGTTAAGTAATCATATTTCTCTCTAGCTCTCTACCATATTGATTTTGACTTTACTGTGTGCATGTTTAGACATGCACACAGTAAAGATGTGCAGTGGATTGCATACAGGTAATCCACTGCACATCTATGAAAACTATCTGACTTTTGAGTAAATTATTTTAGATACAGTGATGCATCTACAATTAATGATCTTTATTTCTTCCAACCACACTGCGGTTTCTGTGATACTTCCTCTGTCTAAAGGCCCAATGTAAAAGCCCCATTAAGCCCCGTTTATCTAGCAGAAGTTTAACTGTGTTAACCAGGCTTCTCTTAAAGATCTCCTCCAGTCAAAAATTTGATTTTCTTATCTTAATGTCCCCTAAAATGTCAGACCTTTAAACGTGTCCTGGACAAGTTAGATTTAGTATATACCAAATGAGTAACCAGTAGCTGTCTAGCAAATGCCAACGGTAAAGAAACCTGACACCTCCAGCGCTTAGCGAACTTATAGTACAGAAAGAAAGGGTTTGCATTAGTGTAGTAAAGGTTTTGGCAGTAAACATGGTTGAGTGTGCAGTTTTTGGATGTTAATCGGACCCTGGAACTTCATTCCACTATCTACTAATAACAACGTGAACACTTTGGAACATTGCAGCAGGTTTGTTATTTAACAACCACTAATGTTGCATCAGCCACTGCCAGTTACAAGCTAACTAACAACATAAACAAACAGACCTAACACACACGTAATATTCTGATACAGCTGCTAGTTGCTTATTTCGGTGCACAACAGACTCCTCATTTGCTTCTAACTGAGGCTCAAACATGTAGGCTTTGGCTGAATCTCCCTGGTTTCCTCTAACACTAGACATCTTGAGGTGTGCTGCTCTTTCACCGGTCAAGCCAGCACCATTTTTTTTACATTTCATGTGTGATAACCATGTTAAACAAAATGAAATGTTTTTGGAGGGGAACTTTAATCCTTAAACTGCCTTATCTGTTGTAGTCTAAGAGGCAGACTATTAAATTAACAAAATAAAATGACAAACAGTGATCCCCAAAAAACAACTCCAATAGCTGATTTATTCCTCCAACTGCCCTGGTAACAGTACAACATTTTTTCCCCTACACTTCTGACAGCAATGCTTACTTTATGGTCATGATGTTCTAGTACTATTTCTGGCTTCCATTTTTGTGAAGTATTTGGTTTTGATTTCCATATGTGTATGTTATTTGTAGATCATTTCGATGTTTTTACTGTAATATCACACCAGTTTGTTTCCTCAAATCAGCCTATAGTTTCAACACCACTGCAGCTTTTCACACTTAGTAGCTTCACTAGCATGTATGAGGTGTCACTGTGAGACTTCCGCATTACTACTGAAAAAATGTAATGATGACCAACACTATGATTTTTTTTTTGTTGTGTCATATACTAACATCTAATCTTACCAATTCAAATGGTTAATAAACTGGCCATTACAAGCTGGACTAAATAGCAGAGGCTTCCTATTAACATACTGTGAGGGATAAAGAGAGGAATGAGAAAGAAAGTGCGGGAGAGAATAAATAAATGAACTGGAGTGTCCTCTGTGTGTGTGTGTGTGTGTGTGTGTGTGTGTGTGTGTGTGTGTGTGTGTGTGTGCGTGTGCGTGCGTGCGTGCGCGTGAATATGAGGAGGGATCATGGTGATGTGAGACTAGGATAGAGGGAAAGTGTAAGATTCTCTTTCCCAGAATAAACCTCTTCCCTGGAAGAGCCAAGTAGCTTGGTATCTTAGCCTTCACTCTGCGATGGCCCGGTCAATGTGTGTCCAATATAGGTTTTTGTATTTGTGTGTATGCGTATTCAGGCAACATGTGAGTCTCCTAAGTGTTTGCCCGTGTGTTTGGCACTGAGGAAAAATTAATCTCTTGGCTGCTCCACTGCCGCAACATACATGAAGTCGCTTGGCTGTGTTTAGGTCTCTGTGTTTACGTCGCTGACTGTGAACTGACATGTTATTGCTTCCAGAGGGGAGTCTCTAATGCTAGTCTGACCCCTCAAGATGTAGAGCATACACACTTGTAAATATAACAGCAGGGGAGCTGGGATTGCCAGCGAGGATTCAGAGCCAAGGAATGACATTTAGTTGCACCGGCTCTGACGTTAATTCATGGAACTCGCCGTGTTTCTGTCCAGGCCTGGATAGTTTGTCATAACAAAGGGCTAACACAGCAGCAGCTACACAGCACGGCTAACTGGTTAGCTAGCCTGCGAGCACCAATGATGTCACTTTGTTAGTGTGAAGGAACAGGTGCTGCTTGTGTAGCAGACACAACCCAAGGCCAGAATTGCTTGGGAAACTTCAGTGGTGTGTTACACTTCACACACACACATGCACACACACACATGCCCCTTCAACAGTGACAGCTGGTACATATAAAACAAAAGTCTCAGCCGGGTGGAGCTGAGTTGAATGCCTGTGTTCAAACAGTGTTCTTCTTGCCATGGTCTGTGATGTGTTTGCTCACTTCCCTAAATTCTCATGTGTTGCGGTGAAACTGATACTGCAGCAAATGATGAAATACAATGCACTTGCATGTTCATGAAATCATCATGATCATAAAATTTCTTCATCTTGTTTCTAATTTAACTGCGAACTATGATTACGAGGCTAGTATGAGACCCAACAAGCTTTTAGCCCAAAGGTTGAGTTATTTGACTTTAAATGATACAAAAATGAGAATGACTGGGCTAATGTACAACAACTGAAATACTGTGTGTACAGAAAGGTCAACACCGTTTGTCCAGCTCTGTGTTTCTTAAAGCTTTCACTCCCGGTCTCTGTGTTATGTAACAAGCGCTTCCTGTTTTGAAATGATGGCGCGATGGGCCCATGTGCACAATTTCTCATCTACTCTCAAATCAAGGTCATGTTTCAGTCTGCACTCACAATTGTTATTTTTTTTCTTCGTCTGCTGGTCTGTCTCATCTTTTTTGCTGAGCTTGCTCTATCTCTCTTACTGATTCTTTGATTAGTGATTTTTCACTCACATCCGCGCACACTTGCCACAGAGAAATTTTTTTTAAAAAAGTCCAGAAACAGGAAGTATGTGGTACTCTGCTCACACCCTCCATGTACCCGCCTCCTCCATTGCTTGAAAAAAAGCACGATAGAAGGGGGAAATGAGAGGATCAGTTGGGTCCTCTTCATGTCAGTCCAAATTCATCTGTGTTCCCATGCGTGGTTATTTATCTAAGAGTGGCAGATGGACTACCGATAACTGGATAATATGAGACAATAAAGGAAGCTTTTAATAGCTCTGAGCTCCATCGCTGCGGTTTCTTATTCTCACCGGCCATCACTGACTCTTCTCCTCTCTCTCCCCCCTCACCTCGTCTGTCTCCATGCAGTCCTCCAGCTCAAACTCCAGCAGAGACGCACACGAGAGGAACTGGTCAGCCAAGGGATCATGCCACGTAAGTCTCTGCTTCAAGTCTGTGATGCTCAGGTTTTTCTGAATTAAAATGTACTGTGTTATGCAAACATTGTTACAGCTATAGCCAGTGATGCACTTGCTCAATAAACACTACAGAAACAAGTGACTCAGCCTCACATAAGGAATAATATAAAAGTGTTATGATGCTTTATAGAAACCTACTCTGACAACTAGCGCAGTGTGTCTGTGCCTTTAAGCCAAAGTGCCAAAGCAGTTTCCTGATGCTACAGCATCAGACGGTATGTCAGACCCTGTCAGAGACTGATACATAATACTAATGCTAAACCATATTGCATGGTCGATTGATTGATAAGCTCCCTGTGCTTCTGATTATCCTGATTATCCTCATCTGCTACATGATATGCTGTTTATCTTTCTGTGTGTTTGATATCAAAATATCTTCAGGGAAGACAATATTATAAAGGTTGAGTCGCTGTTTTTGCATCCATTTTTTTTTTTCCCTTTTGTTATCGGTGTGTGCATTCTGCGTATGTAAAATTTGTTGGTGTCTTTGCACCATTTTTGTGTTATCAAAAAGGACAGCTTCCTCCTCTTCTGTATCCACTTCCTGTTTCAGAGTTCCGCACATCACAAGAGGCGGAGATATATTTAAAAAAATGTTCCTCTGTTTTTGTGTAGAACGTAGCTTTGGGCTTTGTAAAATCATATCTGTTAGTTAATGTTCTATGGCCAAGTGATTGTGTAGTGGAAAAAAATCTCCAAATGAAAGTAGGAAACCCGACATAGTTACTGTTTGGAGAAAGAGATGTTTCTTGCAGTTGTCCGAAATGAAAAATTATTTTCTGGATCCTATGTCACTAGTTGCTGTTAGACAGATTAATAAACTAAATTGTGCTGCTCGTCTTTAAAAGCTGAACTATTTTCAGTGGTCTACTACCACTGCTGTTGCGGTAATGTCCAACCCTTGACGAATTAGTTGGCATATCAGTCCACTAAAAATGCACTTAAAGTAACTAACCTTGCTCACTTTGCATTAGAAGTATGGATTAGGCATTAAAGAATGCACTGGAGTGGACACTCAGACCAGGTACTTGTTTTAGTGGGCAGCATGGAGTCTCACATTTGGCCATTTAGTAGTTACAGTAAATCTGTCTGTGTCCACCTCATGCAACAGGCCTGATGTCAGGCCGCTGAACTCAGATCAGTGTGTACTGGTGGAATATTTCACTCTCAAGCTACTCTTCTGTGGAGTTGTGAAGAGACAAAATACAGGCATGGGTTTTTGGATTCATCGAAGATTAGTGTTTGCTCTCAAGGTGATCCTCGAACGTAGGAGTTTTACAAAGAGCCTTTATTATAACTGTTGCCTCGTGATGCAGCAAGGTAGAGCAAAGGCTGTTCAGTAGTTGAGGTCCCTGTTGAATTATAGGAAAGTAAGTGATGTGAGCAAATACTTAATTTTGGATATACGGTTTCCAAATTGTGATGTATATCTACAATGCAAAAATATTCTTAATGATAGTGTGACGTATCGTTCAACACATGTTGCCCTGCGTTAGACGAGACAGTGAGTGCTGGGAACTGATGAAGGGTCAGTTTCTGTTGTGGTATCAACTCCTCACACTGGTTTTGCAATTGTAGGTGGTGTGAATAGGTGAACTTTCCACCCTTCCTCTCTCTGTAATCACCGTCTAGTTGTTCTTGAGCAAAGCTCTTGAACTCCCACAAGCTGCTATGATCCTTAGTGACGCAGTGCAACAACAGCATCTATCAACTGTCTAAATGTAGGCATGCAAAAGAGAATCATTTTGCGGAGAGGTTTGACCTCGTTTTAGTTTTAAAACTCTTGGGAAGCGTATTAGTGCGGACAGGTGAAAACGGAAGACTTTGAAAACAATGACACTCACATTTGGCTTCCTGATTGGGTCTTGGTGTCATGGTGTATCCTTCCCTGATTCGTCAGGCTCCTATCAGGGTAATGTAACATCAGCCTGGACTACCAGTGGTGAATGCAACATGGATAACAAATTAGTAATATAATAGTATAATAAGTGTTACTGACCTTGACATCTTTGCTAGCAGCTCTTCATCGCCAAATCTTCTGCAATTGCGGAAGTTGTGGCCTCAGATATGTGGTTAAACAAGAAATAATAATGCTCCCGTGTCTTGAGGTCAGTCATGTTTTTTCAGTCATACGGTGTAGTAATTCAGCAGAAAATCATACTATGTCTGGGGCTGCCGGCTGATCCATTTGACCACTTGAAAGTTAAATATTGAACCACATTTCCTCAGGGTGGTGAATTCGTGGAGTTTTGGGAAAGGTTAAAGTTCTGAGTAGAATGTTGTTTCCACTAATGAAAGCAGATTTGAAAAAGATGCAGATGTGCCAAAAGATTTCAATTCCTGTGTCCAGATTGTTCTGCCTTGATATCCATTGTTTATTTTATTTGAGGTTATCAAATTGTGCTTTAGGAGCCCCGTTTTGGACCATTGTTCATTCAGTACATCACCATTTGTTCTTCAGGGTAAATCTCTGTTCTGTTGTCTCTCACTCTATTGGGTTGTTGTTTTTTTTGTGTTTCAGTATAGGCAGATAGCCAGACACAATACAGGTGTTGTTTTTATTGTTTCTGGTAATTGCACCAGTGTAATATAATGGCATTCATAAAGGCCAGCTGTTCAGACATTCAGTCCCAATGTCACAATTTTATACTTGAAACTGAATAAAGTGTCACTTGTGAGCTACATTATGAGGTGGATTGCATTAACATACAAACCAAGCAATATCACCCCCACCCTCATCTGCCTCCTTAAGGGTAAATCATCCCTGGGTCCCCTGAAAGACTATAAAAATACAAGCTATAATTATTAACAATATACATATAGACAAACTGATATCAAACCCTAATTTATATGACAAAGAAATATTTTCTTCACTTGTCCGCAAGTTATTTAGTTTCCGCAGATGATAGTGCTGTTTGTTGTGATCTTGACCGTTGGGTCCATCACAACTGGTGTGTACCGGTTGTGTCATGATGAATTCTTCCCACACTCGCACACCTTTGACAAGTATTTCACCAGATCTTGACCAATCAGACGATCGCTGTATTGCATCACCGTAACTGCCACTGCCGTCACAATATCCTTCCCCAAACAGAGTGAACATCTTTGTTTGTTTTCGTTTTCTTTTTCCAAACTCTCACCTTGAAATTTGAAATGAAAGTTTCTGTTAAAGCCTTTGAGTGTGGGTGCCCTTGGTGTCTAATTAAAAACATCTACTCCGTTTAGTTAGTCATGATATTAAATTGGAAACTGTGCTCTTGGCCCAGTACCTTGAATGGACCAAACTGTGTTACATACAGACTTTAGTCTGACATTATTAATAAGAGATGGAATTAAATCTGTTAAAATATTGTTTTAATCCCTCGAAATTAAATGAATAAATTCAAAGTGATATTTGAATCTTTGGAACAACATTTTTGTCTTGAACATTGTTTATTTGTTTGACTGTTTCTCGTCAATGGTGAAACACTCTTGTCCTTTCAAGAGGAAGTCCAGCCAGATATAGTCTGTAAGTGTCTTTCTAGAAATATGTAAAAATGTGTTTCTGCTCACACACATACACTAGTTCATGGCTGAGTGCTGTGATGAATGTAGATTTTCTGTGTGTGCAGCAGTCTGTCCATCAGTCCTCACTCTCCTCTGTCTTCCCACTCCCTTTTAACGATCCACTCCAGACTACTGGTCATCAGCAATTGATGTCTCTCAGATTCCCAGCTACTGTCCATCTCTCAGACTTATTGTATACAGACAGTTGGCCAGCGCACACCAGTGGCATTTTCTGTTTAAAATAATCATTACACTGTCATAAAATAATGAAGCTATTGTGCTGGTTTAGAAATGTGTTAAATCAGGATATGCGCATTAGTATTTGGCACACGAAAAAGTTTCGCTACATTAAACAGGTTATGTGTGTTGGAGGTTTGAGCTTAAACCAAATCTCACGTAGTGCCTCTTTTTGTGTGCAACACTGAGTCACAAACACAAAAAAAGCTGTCTCGGTTCAACAGAAAAACTGTATGGAATAACTTGACCATCTGAGCTCCCAGAAGACAGTATGGTAACAATTAGGCTGAAGAAAATGCTGAGTCAAGGTTTGGGAAAGCTCTGGTCATGGCCACAGTCATGAAGTTCCATGAAGTTTGTCTGCATATTTGCTCCTTAAAACCTAACTTACTAAGCTAAGCTGCCACTTTTGACTACAACACTTCCAGCTGCTTCAACGTAAAAACCACAATGTACACATCTTACCAGCATAGTAACAGGCCAAAGAAATCAATTTTCTTAGTGATAACCGAGGAGGCAGTTTCTGCAGAGAAACTGGGCTTTATTCCTGCACACACAGCATGCTACAGCAGTCCATCAGCCTCCTGAGCTGCTGTGAGAGTGTGAGGTTCAGAAAAGCACTCCCAACCTTCTCATACAGCAGCCACTTCTGCTTTGAGTCTGTCTTCCTCTATAGTTGTATCAGTTTTCACATTGTCACTTGCTGAAAGGAGCATCACGACTCCCCCCTCAGAGCCTGTATGAGCTGTGTTCAGCTCTCTAACCCCCCCTCCATCCCTCTCTGTCCGTGCAGCACTGAAGAGCCCGGCAGCCTTTCACGAACAGCGGAGGAGTCTGGAGCGAGCAAGGGTGAGTGTCTTAAGTACAGTGAGTTAACTGCTTTCCCAGTGGAGTTGCTTTGTGGGGCGGAACATTTACAGTATGTATGAACAGCATAGATCACCGAGCACTATTTGAAATTCGGTGTATGAGCTTATACGCTGACAAGAAATAAATCAAACTTTTGGTGCCACACAAATAGTAGTAAGGTAGCAGCACTCTTCAGGGAAGGAGCTGCACAAACCAACAGGCTCGCTCAGCATTATAAGCATGTTATTTAATTGTTGTTAAATTATAATAATAATAATATATAATAATATCTCATTGCTATCATGCAAAGTTTAAGCAACTTTGCATGCAAGAAGTAGATCTGAACTTCTGTGAAGGTTTAAAGTCATAATCTGCATCAACTCTGTTATACTCACTATGTACTTTTAATTAATTAATGTTATGGAATAGTAATTCAAACAATAACTTGTTTGTCGATGCTTTTAGTTATAGCATAAATAGTATTAGCAACAAGCAAAAAACAAAGAAAGAAGCACCAGCTGCAGAAACTGCCAGGTTGTGACAAAACTTTACCTTTTACAAATAAAATTAAATGTAAGTATCATAGTATTGGACACATTGTAACAGGTGATCTCTGTATGGCAATGCAACAAAGATGGCAATTTAAAAAGATATATACACGATCTAAAGTAGCAGTTTATTGCGTTGTAAGAAATATCCATTAAGGACTTTTCCCACACTCTTTATTGTTTCTCATATTTTTGCTTTTGATCCTCTTACTTACAACTGTTACCCCTCCATTATGTTTTTCTCCCCAGACCGAGGACTATCTGAAGAGGAAGATCCGGAGTCGTCCTGAGCGCTCTGAGCTGGTCAGGATGCACATTTTGGAGGGTGAGTTTTTACCTAAAAGTGGAACTGGACTTAGAATTCTGATATAGATATCAGAGGTATAGAATGAAATGTTTCATTTAGGTGAAATGTATGAAACTTTAGTAAAAAGGAAACACACAGTAGACAAAATGGAACTAGTTTCAGATAAGGTTAATCCATAGTTCTTAATTCATATTAATGGGGTCTGAGTTAAACTGTAATTTCTTGTAATTTGGCGGAACTCCATACATTTCATAAACTCATTACTCTGCCACATACATCAAGTCTTCACATGCGCAATTGTATCTGCTTGTTTAAAAGGTTTTCCAATGGTGTTCATGTCTGTTTGCATAGGGTAAGGGTAGTAAGGTATTAAGCATTTTTATGTTACTATATCAGTTTAACGTTTCATTTTCTTGTTAAACCAGCAGCTGCATTTGTTTTGTTTTGCTTTTTTCAGTTAATTCAAATCCATGAAGCGCTAAAAGAGCCTTAAAGCTCAGCATCTTTGATCTTTAGAAATTCAACTTCATGTCTTTCTGCATCTGCTCAAAATATTTAAATGGATTAAATGTTGATGTAGATCTTGTGTATACAAAGCACGTACCTAGCGCTGTCTCATTTTAGCTGTCGAATGAATGACTTGATGAATGAATTTGCATGTATGCATGTTGTCGTGTTGTGTCCTCCACAGAGACGTCGGCAGAGCCGTCCCTGCAGGCCAAGCAGCTGCAGCTGAAGCGAGCGCGACTGGCAGATGACCTCAACGACAAGATCTCCCACAGACCAGGTCCCATCGAACTGGTTCACAAGAACATCCTGTCTGTCAACTGCCCTGTGCACTCACCGCTGGGTAACTACACGCACACCTCAAAATATTCTAACAGTCGCAGTTTGCGGACTGCTCCATGTCTAAATGTCCTCAAAAAAGTAAAACATGTGCACACATTGATTAAGATCATCAGTACATCTGATTAAACAAAACATTACAGAAAACAAACCTATAATCCTATTTCCGTTCTGTCTGAACATCCATGTATCTACACACTCTTGTAATGGAGTATTTTAAGGGTGAGTGTTTAAACACACACACTTCTTAATCACTACAGGTTGCATCACTCTACCGGATGTGATACCATAAAAACTAAAGCACACAACCTTTACCGAACATCTCTGCAACAGAAATGACACAACAACTATGTTTGGACATAGCCCTGTTTTGAAACATAGTTGGACATATAGTGTTGTATAACTTCTGTGAAATTAATCTTGTTTGGCAATAGTGAGCCTTGTTTGACTGTGAAACACATTTTGAGGAAGCCAGGAAGTGAACAGTTTTGCCTGCTGGCGACAGTGGCTGGGATAATTCCCAAATTCATGAGCCATTTTCACTGTTTTACTGGTCACAGCGATTTTTAACAGATCGCCACGAGATGCCACTCTGTTGTTTGACTGACTCTGAAAAAATTTGTTGTCTTGTCATAGATTCTCCAAAGGGAGCTGGGGGAGAGAGCTCGTCTTTAGATGAAGACAGCAGTGACGCTCTGTCACCAGACCAGCTAACCAATCACGACTCTCCTCTGAGTGCCGTCCCTCAGCTGTCCCCGCCTGATGTGCTCACCCAAAATGGCGATACGTCCCCCCCACAGGTACCACTGCAAGATGTCATGTCAAGTCTAGGGCGACTTTCACCTTGAACTTATTCAAACAAAAACAAAATTCAAAGGAAATGACTTTGCCATGAAACAAAGCAAGTGAAGAAAAAACATGGTCGCACTATTAACTAGCGTAATATCTTCTCAGTTCATTACACAGTCCCCTCCTCCTCCTCCTCCTCCACCGCCTCCACCACCTCCTCCACAGGTGAATGGGTCAGACTTCTCCCCACTCCCAAAAGTGACAAATGGAACAACGGTGACCTCCACAAACTCCCGCTCCTCTACTGGACACATCAAGGTGTGGAAACGCTGGTTATTTTCTTCTCTTCCCATAAACAACCATGAAATATTTCCCTGTTTCTAGTTGAACATCCTGTAGATTTGATGACTTGTGAATACATCTGAGCTTAATCTCTATTTGTGGAGCAGCTATAATTGGCTCACCCTCCCTCATCTCTTCATATCCTTACTTCCTCCTCCCCGACCCCATTTCTCACGGTTTCTGTCAGCAGACTCAATCTAAGACGAGTTCAGACCGTCCTCCGCAGAGACCTAAGAAACCAAAGGACAGCAAACCTAAGGTCAGCAATCTCTTTGTTTCGTTTTCATTTTAACAGGTGCTGACCAGGACTTAGGGGTCTGATTGGTTTCAAATAATATTTATCCACACTAGTCAAATCTGAAAAGCTGTCAAAACATATTTATTGGGCTGCTTTATGACAGCAGTTCATCTTCTAAATATTAAGATTGTGTTTGTCAGATCTAACCAAGGAGCTAAACTCTTATCTCACTCATCTAGTCGTCTGTTCTCTCCCTGTGGTTTTGGTGTCAGTTCTCTCAGAATCAGAGAGCCAGGGCTTTTCTCTAGACTCAATGTTTTGACATTTAACACTCATACAAGGAGAAATCCATCATAGAAGGGGAAGAGATACAATTTTTTTGCAACCGCAGTATCCTCAAACACCAGAACACAGGCTTGCTTTTTCTGAACTGGAAATACATGTTCTTTGGCTGTAGTTATGTTTTTACTGTTGACCTTTCCACCTACATGTACTGAATGCACTTTTTGTTAAGTTTTATTCAGAATTTCAGATAAGTCAGATATCAGTAACTTATGTAGACCTGGACAAGGCAGGATGAATGTCCCACACTGATGGTATAAGTTGGTTTAAAAGTATAAAAGAGTTGTGTTGTCACTTAACGTTTTGGCCTCCTGGGTGTAGGTGAAGAAGCTGAAGTACCACCAGTACATCCCACCAGACCAGAAGGCAGACAAAGAGCGTCCGCCCCAGATGGACTCCTCCTATGCAAAGCTCCTCCACCAGCAGCAGCTCTTTCTGCAGCTGCAGATCCTCAACCAGCAACAGCAGCACTACAATTACCACACCATCCTGCCCGCCCCTCCCAAGTGAGTGTCAAGCATGACTGACAGCATTGTTTTTATTCAAGGAGTCAACTTGTTTGCCACCCTTTGAACCAGAACCCATAGTTCACACTTTCACTAAGTCCGCAGACTTATCGTTGGGGAATAACCCACAGTTCATACCAAACCCAAAATTGTACATAACATGTGTTGGCATCATCAAGGTAACGTGATGTGCCGTAAAGTGCTGTCCCGTTTTACCACTCTGTGAGGGTTCAGGGTTTAGGCTTTAGGGTGGAGATAGGGATTGGGATTTTGTGCCGTGACTTGTTCCCTCCAAATTAGTGGTCTTTGGGTGAGTCTATGGAGCCTAGAAGATACAGAAAAGTGTGTGTATTGTAGATAACATGATCAAGGAAAAGTAACTAAAGTAAGAATTAATACATTTTTTTAATAATAAAAAGCATTTTTCACATTTACCACCATTACAGTTGCATCTGCGACCTGGCCTCAGTCAACATCCCCTGCCATGTGAAAGAAGGATAAGACATACTTTACTGTTTTCTGCCCCTCCGCAGGCCACCAAATGAACATCCTCCCACAACCAGCTCTGGCCCGTCCCCCTCCCGCAGTGTTCCCACAACAACCACCGTTGCCTCCTCCAATCAAAGCGGGACCCCTCGTCAGAGCCAAGCAGTGGGAGGAGCCAAACCAACCACTCTGCCAGCAAACCTGGATGAGTTCAAAGTAAGTTTTGCCCAGTGTCAAAAATGTACCTGCCAAGAATATTTTTAACTAAATATGTCTTTTATAGTAAAAAATATTTCAGCTTGTTTTATCTGCCATTTATTTCAAGAGATCAGGAAGTTAGTGTTAAAACTAATCTAAGTGTGTAAATGATCACTAAGTGCTTTGAATTTATGCACCAAGAGTGTTTTGAAGGTCATAGTTTGTCAGACCTTGACATACTTATAAACCCTCCTAAAGTCCAACTCATTAAGTGTTTCCCAACCTTAAGCTGGTCATTTCATTTCAAAATGTTATAGAGGCCTGGAGTTCAAAGTGGTCAATACTTCACAAGTAAAAAGGGGTAAAAATCCAAAAGGGGGTCCCGGCTCCCTGGCTGGAAACCATTGAACTAAATTATGTTCCGTTGAACTTAACACTTTGTGTTTTTATCTCCTCCTTATCACTTATTCTGTTCTCTTTCACACTCTGAGTCAATGTCTGCTAAATGAGTACTGGTCTGGTTTCTCATCCTCCAGGTTGCTGAGTTAAAACAGGAACTGAAATTGCGTGGTTTGACCGTGTCAGGCACCAAGAACGATCTCATTGAGAGGCTCCGCAACTATCAGGAGCAACATAGCGGCACCGCGGTGGTTTTGAAAAATGGCACATCACAGCCCAGCCACCAGTGCACGACCTCGGCTGCTAGCACCATCACATCCTCTCCAACCACAACGACCACCCCTGACCACCAATCAGGAGAGGGGATGTTTAAGTTAGCTTTGTCATCATTGGCTCAGGTGGTTCCAGGGCGGGTCATGCGATTTGGCAGCACCAGCTCCAGCCCTCCGGTGTCCCCTACGCCGTCTGAGAGGTCGTTGGCTGGGATGAGTCCAGATGAGACAAGTTGTAATGGAGACATGTTTGGAGAGATGGTGAGATCTATATGTGAAGCAAATAACATGTTAAAATATTGTCTTTTTGATAAACACCCTGGGAAATAATTGAAGATCTTCCTTCAAGCTTTTTGCCAACATTCTCTTCTTGTTTTGTTGTCCTTCAGGTGAGCTCTCCCCTGACCCAACTCACCCTACACCCATCGCCTCAGCACCCACCAAACCTCTCTCCACGCTCACAGCCTCTCTCCAAGGTCAAAGAGGAGGTCCAGAGCTCATGCTGCCACTCCAGGCCTTCAACCGGCTCAGGTCAGCCTCCAGAGCCCCCTGCCATGGACACATCCTCCTTGGACAAGGACCAGATGCTCCAGGAGAAGGACAAACAGATTGAGGAGTTGACCAGGATGCTGAGGCAGAAGCAGAGGCTGGTGGAGACCCTCAGATCCCAGCTGGAGCAGGGCAAAGTGACCGGTGCAATAGTGTTGGAGAAGGACGGAAGTGAGAAGAGCAGAACATCCCAAGAGGTTAAACTTCAAACTCTGATAAAAGCCTCGGCCATTCAGCCACCAACTCTCCCCAACGGCATCTTGGTGAAGGTGAAGAAAGAGGTGGATCCTGAGGATGGGATGGAGGGAGTGACAGAGGAGGCCCAAGCAAAGAAACTGGCCCAGCCGATGCAGTGTTCTCAAGAGACTCTGCTCAGGCTACAGCAGATTCACCGGCTGCAGCTCCAACAAGCTGAACAGCAGAAACAGACGCTGCAGCAGGTGCAACTGCAGAAAGTGGCAGAGGCAAAGTCGAACCCTCAAAAGCTACAACAGCAGAGGAAAGAAGCACAAATCCTGCTCCAGCAGCAGCAGCAACTGCAGCAGCTTATCATCCAGCAGACCCAACAGAAACAGCTCCAGGCCCAGCAGAAGTTAGCACAGCAGAAACTTGCCCAACAAAAACTCAGTCAACAGAAACTGGTGCAGGAGAACCAGGTCAAACAAACCCAAGGGCAAGTTCAACAGAGTCAGCAGAAAAACACAGTTCAGCTGAAGCAGGTTCAGGTGCAGATCCAGAAGCCTGCAGTGAACCAAACCCAGCAGAGGAGGCATCTGAAGGCTCAGCAGAGGCAGCAGCAGAGGCAGCAGACGGCAGCTGTCACCACACAACAGGTAATGTCACAGCAGCTCCGCATAATGAAATATATTTTTAATGAAAAGGCTGGAATTTCACCACATTCAACAACACCAGCCACTTAAGGTGTTGGCTGATGAATAAAATGCATTAAAGTTTGAAAATCTTCATGTCACTGAAAGAGAGAAACTTAGTGTTTGGTTTCCATTTCCAGGTGAACCCAGTTTTTGTCAACCAGCAGAACGGCGCTCAGATCCAGACTCAGGCCATTTCATTAGACCTCCTTAAGGCAAATGGCACGCCGACACTGGTCACCGACAGCAACGGCAACCACTACCTGATTGCTCTCACCAATCACACCACAGACGGACAGAACGGAGTGTCCTCATTGGCCAAAACCAACGGACGCATCACACTGCAGGTACAGTAAAAGTGATCTTCCTGGGTGGGCTGTGCTGGGTTGATAACATGGATAAAATATTTATCTGCAGCTCTCTCTCCCTCTTCTAGAGATTGCTGTCGACTCCAAGTAAACTCCCCAGCACTGACAGCCAATCAAAAGAGCAGCCAGAGGCCGAGCCCGTGAGCCAGCCAATCAAAAAGGTGCAACAGAGAGTATGACACATGCTTTACTGTTTTTATTGCACATGCTTTCTTTATTTAATTTTTATTTGTCTAGGGACAAGTATAGAGCAAGAATCTATTCCTACCACAAGGTGTCGCCACTAACATAGTCATCCAAATCAAACAGACCATAGATGAAGATGATCCAATGCAAAACAGCAGCCTGATATTTTAATAAACTTCAGTAGCCAATCACAGTTGAGTATTCAACATATTGATGTCTGCTGTTGTCCAGTCTAAATATGTCTCCGCCACTCTCTTCACTCAGGGACAGAAGGCGGGGCTACACCTGGACACCAATGGCGTGCCACAGCCCAGCCTGTCCGTCACCGCTCCGCCCAGTCTGCAGCCTTTCTTTGATGACATGTCAGACAGCGAAAGCCAAAGCAACTTAATCTCATCTCTCAAGGTAACGCCACCACCTCCTCCACTCCTGACAGCTCCCATCGCCATGTCATCTCTTCTGCTCAGGCCTCTCCACTTGATGTAAACTTCATTAACTTTTCCTGCCTGTTTCTTCTCTTTTTCTTTTCATTCCATCATCTCATCACCCCACCCTGACAGAGAGAGGAGGTGTGTCCGCCTTACGACCGGCACACACTGTTCACCCCTCCCTCTCCCAAACCCAGCACTTCCCTTCCTACTCAACGCTCCAAAGTATGTCCTCCTGTTCTTTCTCTCTCTTGTCTCTCTGTTCCTCTATTTTTCTTCTTAGCTTCCCACACTTGAGCTTTGTGTATATTTTACTGAGCTTAGAAGGCAGTTGGAAAGTCTTGCAGTGCGGTGTTTTCCATTTGTGTCTGTGAAAATCCTGGTGTGTTGGGGTATTTCAGGGATGATTCATTCTTCTTTTTTGGTGCATCTTTTCTCAGTCTACCTTCTGTACTTCTGCTTAATCATCTTCTTACTGAATGCATTGTGGGAAATGTGTCTACATTTTACCAGGCAGTGGTTGGAAACTGCATTCAGACGTGAGATATCTGCAAGTATATTTCACAAGTGACAGGTGGTCAGAGAGTGAGAGACGCTCACTCAAACTACAACACGTCGTATTCTGCTCTGTTCAGACTTGATGAAGCATTTCTACTTTCCCTTGTTTTAGATTCAAAGTGACTTATACATATTTACATACTATACTATGTTGTCTGGCCTAAATATAGGATGTTTTATGTTTAACCTTTTAGATCAGTGGTTCCCCAAGTGGCATGCTTTAAGGACAGACCTACAGTGCCGCAAAATAGATTTTCTTCTGTCTTTTTTTTTTTTTTTACTGTGCATTAACTTTAGATCTTGAATAAAATTTTACCACATTAAAAACAAAGTGACACATACGTCACCACACAAAACACACCTCTTTGGCCAACATGTATAACGAATGCTTAAAGCCACTAACACAGGAGGTGAGAGCAGCACGTTAGCAGAGCAGCAGCTTCAGTCCTCTGTCCACAAAGGATGTGTTCAGGGACAGTACTGAGTGTAGGTTCCCCGCGTTATGGCAGCCCTCAGAGCCCAATACACAATCACTATAGTGACTGTAGTGAAAACAGACTTCAAATAAGCTTTGCGCTGAAGTGACATGTATACTGCATGAGCAAAACATGAGCCATAACGTGGCCTGTGTAGACAGGTGGAATGATTAAAGTAGAAATATAATGTGTGAGACAGACAACTGACTTTACAAACTTAAAATATGTGTATGTAAAATATGTGGTCAGTTTGTCTTGTGGAGAAGCCTGTGTTCTGTGTGACAGTCATGTGATAACATCTTCTCTATTAGCAGGAGAATGGCGTGAACAGTCAGCAGATGGACGACCTGTTTGACATCCTGCTGAAGAGTGGAGGTAATAAACTCATTACATTACATTACATTTAAAAATTTATGAGAGGAAGACACCAAGTGTCTGTCGTGTCCTGTGCTGACGACATTTTTCTCTCTCTGCCCTCCTTCAGAACTCCCCGGCTTCAAGGCCAACCCGGACCCTTCCCTCGCCCCTCTCCACTCTGACCCGCCCTCCCCATCTTCTCCCCAAACTCCCCTCCACCTCTCCCCTCCAACCCCTACAGAGCCCCTAATCTCCCCTCAGCCTTCTGTGGGAGAGCCCTGCACAGGCAGCGGACGCCTGGAAGACTTCCTGGAGAGCACCACAGGCGCCCCCCTGCTGGGCGTGGAGCCCGACGGGGGCCTGACACTGATCGACGACCTTCACAGCCAGATGCTGAGCACGCCCAGCATCCTGGACCACCCTCCCTCCCCCATGGACACGTCCGACCTGGGCTTCTCCCCTCACTCTACTGGGCTGGACTTTTGCGACCCCACACTGGACAGCATGGACTGGCTTGATATCTCCATGGTGGGGACCGCAAGTGGAGGGAGCGGAGGTAGCGGAGGGGGGAGAGGAGGAGGAGGAGGAGGAGGAGGGGGGAGTCTGGTCCCGCTGGCACCGCACACTCCACAGAGCGTCTTCTCGACAGATTTTCTGGACAGCACAGACCTGCAGCTGCACTGGGAGTCATGTCTGTAGCCCGTCACGCAGATGGACACGCGCTGGCTCACACTGTGTACAGGCTCCATCTTTATTTCACGCACATACAGAAACCTTTTCTATGCTGTCTCTACCACTGCGGGGGTCACTGGCACATGCAAACACACACTCACACACACCCATTTACACAGTTTGCCCTGTCTTTCACTGCTGTTACTGTATGCAGGATGATGTGAAATAGGAAAGAAAGATAGAAGTTAAATTCAAAGAAAGGACTTGAACTTGGTGGAATTGAAGTGGACTTTTTAAAGTTTATTTCTATGGGGTTCCATACAGCAGACTTTCCTGTGTCCTGACTGGCATTATAACCAGGTTACAGTGACCAGCAGGAAACTGCTGGTCACTGTAACCCGACATTTCAACCCTTGGAAACCGTTTGACAGATTATAGCCAAGGGGACTGTCAGTGACGTTTACTCGGGCTCTTTGAGATAGCAGAGTGTGTGTCAGTGCCTCCTAAACTTTGCACTTATGCTGAATCTGATTGGTTTAAAGGGGGTGTTCAGGTCAACAGCCGAATCCTAAAGCTGTGTGAAAGCCACCACTGTTATGATGATCAGCTGAGCTGTTGATTGTGTGAAAAGAAAGGCAGCTGTTGGTGACCTCGTCACCCCACCGTGGCAACCTGAACCCCGCCCACACTAGTCAAAAAACCGTCATTGGTTGACAGTTGCAATTGAAATGCACCATATCAGTGGCAATTCAACATTTTGAAATGAAGCCTCATTGGAGGTTGTGTATTATTGGTAACATTATGGTAGACCACTATGTATTGCTGTATATGGGGTGTATATTATCAATCGTCCATATGACTATTTTTCTTTGCTGGTTGCTTTACAGTCGAGCTAGCCGGCTGAGGAACATAGGGTAAGGACCTTGTCATTTTTTAAAGAAAAAGTTAAAAAAATAAAAATAAACTCAAAAGATGAGTCTGTTTTTCTTTTACATGGTCAGATTAACATATAAAATGCAAAGCGTCTCAAAGGAGACAAGACTGTTTGCTCAGAGCTTGCTTTATGCATGCTGTGTAATTACTTCATTATGTATAACTATAAACTAACTAACTAACTATTATTAAATCATTAGTAACCTGCTGCTCTGTTATTTAGTAATCGTGGTGATAAAAGAGAAATGCCACCAGGGGGCGCCAGAGTAAAGAAAACAGCTGAACACAAATGTGGCCACTCTCATTTAAAGCAGCACCAAACACAGGATAGATAACTGACTGTGGACAAAAAGTACCTTTATTTTTTTTAGATCTGTTTCTAGTGGTTCATTCTTTATAGTTAAATGTTGAGAAACTACAAAGGCCCTGCTATTTTGCATGCAGGAAAATTGCATTTGCTCTGAACACATGATCATAAATCACTTTCAATCTCTAGATTTACATTTTCTACTTACAAGATGTAAGATTTGTCTGCCACTGTTATCCAAAACATGACTTTCCAACCTTAAGTTTGAGTGTCCCAGACACTCCAGAGTCTGAAGTTTGATCCCCTTAACTGCTTTATGCTTGGTCAGAACTAAAACACACAACTGTTCCCTGTGAAGGAGGAAGTAAACAGACTTACTAAAATTACTGATACCAGACTTTAAAAGTAAAAATCCAGTGTTAAAAACAATATTAAGTAAAACTATGTAGAAAAATATAATGAAATAAATGTAGAAGTAGTCACTGCAGAAAAATGGGATCACTGTGGTCCCTGATATATCATTATTCATACTGCTACATGAAGTGGGTACATACTGTAAGGCTGCAGCCAATGATTATTTTCCCACAGTGACACCTTCACATTGTGTGTACATACACTCAGTTGCCAGTTTATCAACCATACAGTTGAATGAACACCGCTCTAAAACATCTTAACCTTTGTGAAGGGAGGATTTATTGCAGGACTGTTGTATTAGACTGCATTAGTTTTACTAAGTGTACCTAATAAACTGGCAACTGAGTGTTGTGAGTATACGTGTTTGGCATTTATGCATGAAGTCAGTTGCTTTATTGATTAATTGACTAAACAATTAGTCACTAGCTTCACTCAAATACCAGAAGGGTTTCAATGAATTCTCCCCAGACATTTTATTTTGAAAGCACACTGCCGCTTCTTCTGCTACTTCCACTTGACATGATGGAGAAAGTTCATCTGTGCGGACACTGGTGAGTTTCCCAGACACACCTGCAAACTGTTACACTCCTCTCCATCATTTGCACCTTTGGGTATAATGCAATCCATCACAACGTCACTGACTCAATTATTACTGTAGAATTAGTATACATTGTGGAACGATTTTATTGCATTGCATTGCATTCTACAGGTGTTTTAATCTTTCTGGTAACTCAGTGTAGATTTTTATTTCAAATTTAAATACTTGGCTTTCCTTTGTGTCGTCTCTGCTGCGGTTAATGACTCAAATTATTCTCAGTAATGGATGTGACTGATCCGTGTAGTGAAGCGTAGAACTGCAGTCAAAACACAGTTAAGGAAAATTAAGAAATGACGAAATGACTCAAACTATTTTTGTCCTTTCACTGCCAGCTCATATACACATAGACTGTTGGGTTAGCACTCTTTCAAAAGAAATAAATATCTTGAGGCTGACACACACAGTAATGCCGATAGATGGTTTCCTCACTTGTTGCTGTTGTGTTGCATTGGTCATCTCGCTTTTTATTTTTCTTCTTTCTTTTTTTTTTTTTTTTTACACCCGCACTCGTAGGCTCAACAGTACTGCAGAATTTTGTCTGCTGGTTCCCGGTGAGACTTTCACACATACTGACACTTTCAGTTGGACGTGATGAGCCGTGTTCACAATGGATTGGTTCATGTTAAAATAAAGTCTTAAACGTGAGTGGATTATTTGTTTCATTATGTGCCGTACACAAACCATGGAGAGGGGAGCTTGATCTTTTATTTTATAAAAAGTAAGACCCTCCCCAGCAGTATTGTTTTATTTGGACCCTCTGATTCACTTCAAATAACACACTAAACAAAATATTGACAATACAGCCACTAAGGGCTTGTGGACTGCAGTATTTCAGCCCAACCTCATAAAATATTACCCTCTGCATATGTCAGAACACACCTCCATGTAACACAATGCCATGTTTGGTCTCTTTTTCTACATAATAATACTCACAAATATAAAATGTGAAACAACAAAAAAAATGTATAAAAGACCCTCCCACTACTCTCTGGGATGGTCTTTCTTCTTCATGTTTTCTTGAGGATAACTGGCCAAACTTTAACCAGGTCTTTACTTATTTCCTTACAACAGCTAGAGGAAAAGGTGTGAGTGATCTAAAACATCAGAGGTAAATATAAGGGTGGGAATCAAACAAGTGCGTCTTTCTAGTACCACCAATTTGCTTCAGCGCAGTCCTGCCAGGACAAATCCCTCACTCAGACCAAAATTCAGGGGAGAAGTGTTAGTAATTAGAGAGCTGTTGTTTTAAGCAGAGGGGTAAAGCGACCTCTTCATCATCTACTCCTCTTTTCTGTGTAACACTGGACTGAGTCGAGCTCCAAATGCCCCGTTTGACTCGTTCTCCCAGCCTTTCAAGTTTCACTCTGCCAGCCCCTCATCATCCCTTAAAGACCCTGATGAGCCCTAGGTAGCTCTCTCTCTCTCTCTCTCTCTCTCTCTCTCTCTCTCTCTCTCTCTCTCTCTCTCTCTCTCTCTCTCACAAACACACACACAGTCGTGTTTCCATCACTTTCCGGGACATTACATTGACTTACATTCGTTCCCTGGAGACTTACCCTAACCTTAAACCATGTCTTCACCCCAAAGTTTAAGGATTACATTATGTTGACTTGCTTTTTCTCCTCAAAAGGAAGGACCTCACAATGTAAACAGATTTATGTCCCCACAACTTTAGTAATACCCACACACACAGATATTCAATGCAAGGCACGCAAACATGCAATCAGCTCAGTACGTTCTTACAGATTCATTTCACACGCACGCACGCACACACACACACACACACACACACACACAGGTCACAGCAGCTCCCCAGCTCTGCATCAGTACCATCTCCCTCTCTCCTATACACAGAGAAGATAAAAGTCCTGAGGCCATGCTACTAATTAACTACAGTGAGCTCCAAAGGGCCGCAGCGCCAAGAGGGCTAAAGATCTCCTCTGTATTCCACATCCCACTGACAGGAGCCCGCCACTCTGCAGCCAGCAGACATGCGTGGTCTTTAATGAAACGTGCTCAGAAAGCCTTTTATCAACAAAATTTGAACGTTGTGAGAATGAAAGAAAATGGCATTTTGCTCTATGAGGCTGCCTTCTCTGCTCTGTCGTGGGAGCTTGATATTTTAGATTTATATTTTAACATTTAGAGTAGCACTGATTGTTGTTGCTTTTCTTCCTCCAGGATCCACCCTCTTCATAGTTTTACAATCTATTTTGTCATCATAATTTTATATGCTATGATTTCTGTTGTGAATTTATTCTGTACACATGACATCCATTGCATATCTGTCTGTGCTAGGAGAGTGATCCCTCCTCTGTTGCTCTTCCTGAGCTTTCTTCCATTTTTCCCCCCTGTTAAGGGGTTTTTTGAAGGGCGTTTTTCCTCAGTCTAACGATAGAGGGTATTGATTGTAAAGCCCATTGAGGCAAATGGTGATTTGTGATATTAGCAAGCAAAATTAATAAAGCATATAGACAATAAACAAACACATAGCAAAATAAATAAAAATTGACTTGACAAGAAGATCGATACCACTCTTACATGGTACGTGTGTTAAATGTGAAGCTCGACCCAGGAAGTGATAGCTTAGCTTAGCGTAAACACAGGAAACAGCAGCTAGCTAACCTACCAGCACCTATATGGTGTATAAATGTACTAATTGGTAAAATGACAAGTTGTGTTTTTACACACAGTTAATATGCTGGAAGTACTGTATGTCTTAGCAAACAACAAGCAGTTGCAGTGACTTCATGAAGTCTCCGCTGATTGCCTGGAAACTTCACAGGAATGACAAGGCTCCAGAAAAAGCATTTCTATATTTCAAGGTGAAACAATTCACAACTACACTTTGAAATAGCCATACAGAAGTGCTCTTAGTCCTGATGTAGAGTAGATCAGTCCCTAGTATGGCTCAAACTCAGAAAATGCTAGCTCCTACAATGTCCCACAGTGCAACCCAGTAGCATTTTATTGTTATACCCTCACTGAATGAGAAACAAGCACATCTTTCAAACAAACATTTCAGAATAAAACACCTTTTTCAAGACCCTAACCTACTGCGATACCGCCACTCAAACAGGATATGTATATTTCTTTGTGTTGTTATTAGTCAAGATGAGCTCATTTTGTAGTCCCCATCTTTACTGTCTTTGTTGGTTTAATATCATGATGTTGGCAATGCCAGTGACAGTGGTGTGTCCTTTGCTGACTTTAATGTGAGGTTGAAGCTGTTGATGTGCAGTTTTATCCTGCACAAAACCAAACCTGAACATGCATGTTCACTCATCCGTTTGTTCAACCAAACCGTCCTGTGTTTTAAGGGGAGCAAGTGTTTCTCGTCATGCCTTCGTCTCCTTTCCCCGTCAGAAGCTGTATGATGTGAGAGAATCAGTCAGGTTTCGGTGGATCCTGTTGCGACTGGGGAGCCTTTGATAGCAGAGGATGTGAAGGCTGACATTTGCACGGGCAGGGGGAGATGTGGGGGGGGCAAAGAGGGAGGGGGGCGCTGAGAGAATAGCAGGAGTGTTTTGTTCTACACCTGTTTGTTTGAAAGACAAGAGAGTACGTGGGCAAAAAAGACAGAGAGCGAGGAGGTCGCAGAAGAGAGCGTGCAAACAGTCACTCTGTAGCTCACAAACTAAATGCAGAATCCTCTGATCCACGCTCTGAATATAATTCAGAGTAATTACAGTCTCCTATTAAATGTGAGGCACAGATGACAATT